AGGAATCAACATTCCATTTTATTACTACTTCTTTGATATCGTACTTCGTGTTGCAGCAAAAGAGGGATGTGGTGTCTTGCGATTATCCACCTGCAAAAGTCTTGGGGAAGATTTAAAACTTTCAAAAGATGAGGTTATGGAGTCTCTTAATTTCTTGCACCATATCAACAGTATCATTTATTATCATGATTCTAAAGCCTGCAGTGACCTGGTGTTTGTTAGCATAGGCAGTCTCATTGGTATTCTCAAGGAGCTGGTCGGGCATGTTCATGTTGTTCACTCCAATAAAGGATACGCTGGAGATGATGACGTTATAAAGGGGATCCTTTCAGTAGCCAAGTTTAAAGAGATTTGTAAAGAACAATTTGACCCCATCACAGAAAAGCTAGAAGTTGTTGATATTGCAACGAAATTGCTGAATCTTTTCCTGGAGCTCTCAATAGCTACACTAATAGATGATAAATATTTCATACCAGCTCTCCTTCCAGTAAGAGATGTTACAGATGTCAATCCTTATAAGGATCGTGAGCCATTGCTGTTTTACTTCAAGAAGGCTACCCCAATGGGCCTTTTCTGCTCTGTTGTTACTCATCTTCTTTCAAACTTTAGCTACAAAATTGCTTCGATAGAAAGTAATTTCTCTAACTGCATCGAATTGAAATATCGTACAGAAGGGGTTGCGACATTTTACATTACTCTAGTTGAACAGATCAATTGCATTGAAGTCCATTGTGAGGAGCAGAGATGGGAAGGGATAGTCAGGGAAGATGTCAAAATGGCGATTGCTTCTGCAGCTGAAAAGCACAATCTTAGTACCAGTCATGAGATCCGGTTTTATTGTTCATGTCAGCGTGGTACTCCTGGAGTAGGAGGAGGTGTGGCTAAAGGGAAGAAGCATACAGTTGAAGTCGAGACCATCAGTAAGGAGCATACCTTCCGATGCAGTGAGAACCCACGTATAAAATGTCAAGAGAAGAAAGAATTATGGAGCTCCTGGCTTGACGGTAAGTTACTTATTGTATATCATTATGATTAATATTACTATCATTATTATGATTAATTGTTATTGTTTTTATTATTGTAAAACAGCTGCTAGTTTATTCTCTTTTTTTTCCACAGCTGATACACCAAACTCTCCTCCTTCTAATGATGAGTCAACTTCTTCTCCTACAAAACAAAGTAAAATACATTAATATTCATTGATACTAGTTTAATGTATTAATATTAAAGGTACTCCTCCACAAAGAAGTGTATCTGAGACTGGAAGCACTGGCTCTCCACAGGAAACCAAAGGTACAGTATGTTGTTAAATTTTACATTCAAATATTTTTCATTAATTTAAATATTTATGTATCCACAGGCCTCAAGGAGCTTACTACTCCACAAACAAATTTATCTGACATGAAAGGCTGTGCTTCTCCACAGGAGACCAAAGGTATGTCACTTGATTATTAAATTGAACACATTCAAAATCTAACCTGGCATTGATTCATACTGCATGCAATCCTTAATAAAGTCATATTTAGTTTGTAAATACTCAGAATTATGTTATTTTTTGATAATAATAGTCCAATCTTCTCAGATGTGCCCACTGTTTACTGCTATGATAGTGTTAATTTTTATGCCATATTCTTGTAGATCCAAAGGAGATACTACAGAAATATTCAGCTAAGCTAACCAAGGCAATATCAGCTAATGTTGGTGATGTAGCTAAAGCATTGTTTGCCAAAGATCTAATAACACAATGGACTAGAGAATATGTAGTGACAGCAGTTGGTGTAGCTACAGCTGATAAAGCTGATAGAGTAATGAATGATGTCATGGGTCAATTAGAAGCTTCTCTTAATGAAGGACAGTATTTAGCTGATGTGTGTAATATTTTGATTCAGCAAGGTGCAGCAATGAAACAGATAGGAAACGTTATGCTTAAAGAACTAGGTATGCACATGTACATAAGTCATTGAATGTTAACCTTTTGTGTTCACAATAGGAGAAGACACTGCTACTGTCCATCCTCCTCTTCCTCAAAGTGGAGCTAGTGTTGCTAGTGAAAGTGAAAATTAATTATATTGTTTTTGATCTGGTGCCATTGTGGCTGTTGTATGCATTTGGTAGTTACTGTTGTAGATACCGTACAAGATGATGGCAAATTCTATATTAGCAATTTTGTGCCATGTGCCATTGAGCATGCATCAGATTGAAACAAAATGGCGGATTTTATACCATATAGTGGGTTTGTTTTGTGAGGGTAAACTTTCGTTTTCCATCCTCAAATATTCATGTACATGTATGCATGATGATCTAGTCAGGCAGTTCTCATTTGTAAAAATATTTTTAAATTCAATTTCATAGGCAAGGCCGAGCTTAATATGAGAACAGCCATGAAGATATTTACTCCTTCTGCTCACCATTACAGACTGATAGGAATTGGATTGGGTGTAGAATTAGCAGATCTGAAAGACACAGATGAAGTAACTAATAATCTTATTAAAGTATTCCAGAGGTGGTTTGATGCCAATGAAGATGTTAGTTGGGATGCTTTAAAAGAACTTTGTGACAACTATCCTGATCAACTGGGCAAAGCAAAGGCTAAGCTAAATGAAGTACTCTGCTGTCAAAAAAATTGTTCACTGCAATAGGATACTGACCATCCTCCTCCTGCTAGTGATTTATTTTTGGAACTCAGTTGCTTATTTTTTAATTATGTGTATGCTAACAGTATCTTTTTTTGACAGCTGATTACTGGTATGTTTTTTAACTATTATTATTCTAATGTAAATGTTTTTAAATTCAATTAAAGTACGGGGGCGGGGCGTATTCTTGTACACAGAAACAATGGAGGACAAGCCAGCACTAGACGAGCTACCAACTCACGTAGACGTTGGTACAGAGTGGCTGAGACTAGGGGTACTACTGGAACTGGATATGAAAGATCTAACCGCCATAGAACATGAGAGACTCACCAAAGACTACATGTACGCCCTCTGGTTGAAGACCAATCCTTAAGGCCTTCATACACGAGGCGACTTGTTGCCAGGAACCAAGCAACATGTTGCCAAAAATAGAACATCTTTCTATTTCTGGCAACATGTTGCTTACAAGATCAAAGTAACCACAGAAGTTGCTAGCAACATGTTGCCTAGTGTATGGAGGCCTTAACGCTACAAAAGGACAACTGATCAAAGCCTTAGGAGTCATTAGAGCTAATACTTTAGCTGATAAATACAAGAAATGGATTAGTAGTACTGGCAGAGCTACTGCTACTAGTAAAGACACTAATGCAAGAAGACACTCCTTCACTCAGTAAACAAAGTAAGTACTGTATAGTTAGTAAATGTGGAGGGAATGGGGAACTATTGACAAATGTAAATGTAATGATGTTAAATATATTTTTATTGTAGCTACAGCTCAACAGTCACTTGATATCACTGATCTTCAAAAAGTGTTGAATTTGCTGGAAGATGCTCATTTCAACGGAGACTGGGAGGGACTGGGTCTAGAACTAGGACTCTATCAGCACCCAACACTCTCCAACTTACAACATACTCATGATAGGGAGGCTGCTCTTAGGGAGTGTCTTGCTGTCTGGTTGCAAAGAGCTGATAGTGTGGATAAAAATGGAGGAGCTAACTATGTATCACTAGCTAATGGTGTAGAGAGATTGGGACAAAGAGCTGCAGCTGATGACATATGAAGTGAGTTATAATAATTGTATTAGTACTAATTAACTGAGGCAAAGGGACAATTGTATTATTACTAGACGAATGTAAAACATTAAAGGGGCAAGCCTAAGCAAGCAAGTAATGTACATACAATAGATCTTGACAGCTCATGCATGTGGATTGTGCATCCTCAGAAGGAACTTGATAGACGTAGCTCTTGATGATCTATCTTTGTATGTCTGCAGCAATTTATGTTACCTTGCTTATAACATTAAAATAGCTCAACCAGTCATTGCACAAATGATATAGCTAGATAGGCAGCTCAGCAGCTGTAGCAATGTAGTTTTTAGCTTCTTGCAAGTAGCTCAGGCTGTCTCTGCTTGCCAGTGCTGCGGGCTGTGACTAACATTCACTTGATCAGAGTTATTTACATCAATGAAGAACATGAACATCTACTTTCTTAACCCTCCTTGCTGGTAGTTGCTGCATTTGGATAGCAGTACAGTCTTATCTTGCTGATTTCAGTGACTTGCAAGTTCAGTCACCATTTTATTTTACTGTGACCACACCCATTTTCAATGAAGATTATTAAGTTTATTAAAAAGTGAAAAATTTTTCATACGGATAAATAGGGGTGACGCACGTGTACAAACAAACAAACAAACAGACAGACAGACAGACATACATACATATGTGTCTCGTTTATGTGGGGCTCGTTCAGGCTCGCCCCAATTATTATTTTTAATTATTTTTAGGACAATGTGGAATTGAAACAGCAGAAGAGGATGCCCTTGTCATTGGTATGTATTAATTAATAATAATTATATTTATTAGTTTATTAAGAGACTGGAGGGAGGAGCCCAGTGACTCCATTACTAGTACAGGAAGACAGTTACATTGCAGAAGAAGAAGAAGAGAAACCATCAAAGAAAGAAGATGAAGATGAAGAAGGAGGAGGTAAATGAATTATAACAGTTATTAGTATTGATGTCCTTATGCTGTGTAGAAAGTTTGAACTGATTCCGACTTCAATTTTCAAGTTTTGGCCATTTAAAAAATGGGCCAAATTCTGAAAAACTCCCTGTACTAAAGCCCATGGTTTCTTCCGAAAAATGGCTCCGAAATCACTCCCAATTTTTATTACATTTTCTGAAAAATCTCTGTACTATTATTATTATTATTATTATTATTATTATTATTATTAATAAACTTTACAATACACAGAAAATGTATTGAAGGATAACACAGCAGCTAGGCTGGCTAGCCCATGGTTTTTTCCGAAAAATGGCTCTGAAATTACCCCAAATTTTTATTACATTTTCTGATACATATTGATGTACTTATGCTGTGTAGGAAGTTTGAGCTAATTCCAACTTCAATTTTTCAAGTTACAGCCATTTAAGAAAATAAGCCAAAATCTGAAATATTCCCTGTACTATATAGCCCATGGTTTTTTCTAAAAAATGGCTCCAAAATCACTCCCAATTTTTATTACATTTTTTGATACATATTGATGTCCTTATGCTGTGTAGAAAGTGTGTTCCGACTTCAATTTTTCAAGTTATGGCCATTTGAAAAAATGGGCCAAAATCTGAAAAATTCCCTGTACTATAGCCCATGGTTTTTCCTCCAAATTAGCTCCAAAATTGCCTCCAATTTTTATTACATTTTCTGATGCATAATGTTCTTATGCCATAATTATGTGGAAAGTTTGAGACTAAGCCAATTCTGACTTAAATTTTTGAGTTATGATTATTCAAAAATACTCTGTAATAGGGCCTATAATTTTTTTTTCAAAACTTTGCTTCAAAATCATCCCCACAGTGCCCACACATGCAATTTTTTTATACAATAAATGCTATTTTATTTAACAATAAATTCAAAATGTTGATCCACCCAAACAGCAACAGTAGAAGCCAGTTTTCTTTATAGTAGTGCTGGGCAATATATCGAAATTCACGATATTTAATTGATATAGTGTGGTATCGATATTTATCAATATCAAAGAAAATTAAAGGAAAATATCGATGACACTACCACACCCACATAATAGTTACATAACCTTATTAATATTTAATTAACTATAGCAGTAACATCTCAAAAATAACTAAAATAATACTTTTTTGGAAAGCAGATGAAGTAGCTGAAGTATATCAAGTCAAAGAAGATTTATATAATGCTTTTTAATAATAATTGTTCTCAGAAACAGCTTTATTTAGCTGTAATATTAAAGTTAATGGGTGTGGCTTAATAACTTATAAATAATCTTCAATTTTGGGCAAGTATCTTATCATTATTGTGTCATTTCAAAATTTTCAATATTCCCCAGCACTATTACAGACTACACAAAAATCAATAGGTTTGAGACAATCAGTATTATAATAATAATAATAATATACTCAGTCCATTCTTATTATTATACTGTTGCTAGTTCATGTAACTGGAGTTGTGTATTATGAGATATTTTTTTGTTATTGGTATATACTGGAATCAAAGTTGTTATACTGCTACATAAACTAAAAATTTACAATTTACTGGTACTGTGATATGCAATAAAAATATTCATAGCTATCTGCATTCATTACGGCTTTCCAAGGATCCTTCTTTGCTAGCTCTTTTGTCCTTTTCTCCCCATACACAAAATCCCTTGTCCATCCAAAAGCATGAGTCCATTCATGTGCTAAGATACTTTCCTTTGTAGGTGATCCATGTCGCTTGCAGTAGATGTCACGATGATGATAAGCAGGGCAGAGTGAAACACTGTTACTGTCTATAGAGAAAGTAAGATAATAATAATAATAATAAGGATAATATTAATAATAATACTTTCAACGCAGTTTTGTTTAACTTACATATGCATGCAAGGCTCAGTTTAATTTATACAGTATATATATGTATGTTTTGTGTTACTTTACTTGCATATGTGAATGCATTCCAATTATAACGACACATTGAAGGATTGATCCGATATGTAACTGCATTGCCTTCTAGTCCTTCAATACATTTCAGTATCACTTCAGTTACAAGTTTAGCTCTGGATGGAGTATATTCCCCAAACCAGGTTTCATACAGCTGAGTGTTGTCTATTTTGTTCTTTGCTACTCTGTAATGTTTGCAAAGTTGAGTGTGAGCTTTTGTAATGCCAATCTTTTGTTTTATACTCCCACCAATGAAACCAGCACTACCACAGCCTTCTATACTTAAAAGATCTATTAACCTTCCTTTATTCTCTTCCTTGAATGGCTTTGAGACTGAGGCAGCAACATCCTCTAGATAAATGGAGAACGATTTTTTTACCTGTGACTGAATGAGCTGATACTCGCTTGATTCTAATTCCATTGATGTCTTTGATATGTATTGCAATGGACTAATGTATGTTACTGTATAAAGACCATCTTTTGGGAACTCAAATACATTGTTGATTGCAACTGATGCTGATATTGATTTCCCTGATCTCAGGAGTATAAACTCATCCCTTTCTGGTGGATTGCGGTGGACATGAATCCCTTTATATTGGAGTTGATAATTCCCTTTATAATTTAGAGAGATGAATGGTGAGAGAAGTCCTTCAAGTGGTGTACCTCGTTTCAAGATATAATAATCCTCTTTATCATTTTTATTAATAAAATCAAAAGAGCAGGCCACTGCTGCTCCTAGCTTTTGACAGCTCACATTTAAAGATATTGGCCATTCTACTCCTTCAGTGATAGAGGACATTTCAGCTTGTACATGATTCCATAAAGTCATTGATAGCCCCAATACTAGTATTATGTTTCTCACTAACTTCATTTTTTATTGAATGGACTCTAGATCCGTCATGGCCTAGGGCCATCTCATAAATGGAGCGTGAATTGTTAATTTCCCATATTGGCTGAACTTAAGTTACTTTGGCTCCCTACTTGGTTATTTTTGTTAAACTAACACTAACCAATATCTTAATAATTCTCTCTTATAGCAAATTAGTATGGGACAATTTAATACTATATAGTTATGCCTATTGGAAATTTCACAAAATACATACACACGTACATGTACATGTATTTACATTTTTGTTTTGAATTATTTACATTTATTATCATTTGGTCAATATCTTCTTATAGATATTACTATCTGGTTCAGATTATGTCCGATGTTGAAAGCAGAAGCAGAGAGAAGCTAGTACAGCAGAAGAAAATACAGCATGAATAGACTATGTTCATATTAACTGGTATAATAATTAATTATTTTATTTTGTGGCTCTAATTGGCTTGCCTTAGTTCAATATGTTTTTTTTTAATTTGCTAACATGTATATACACTTGTATCACATGTACTTGTGTCTTGAAATTCTGTACAAAATTGAAAACTATAATTAAATTTTATTATCAATTTAGATTTCACATGTAGATTCTATTTGTTTTCTATTTTTATTGAAATCTATATTGCAAAAATGGAATTAAACCACACTATAGCTATGTACTATGTTAATAACAAAACTCAAGCATCGATTATTTAGTAAAGAGTGTTCTTTTTTTGTACTTGCTACTCAAATCGTGACTGACAGTAGAATCTCTCATAATTGCCTGAATTATGAATGGCTATTTCTGGGAAATATTTTGCCAGGAACCTGCAGCCTTTCTCTCCATGTCGAATCCCTGCAGTGCGACCGAATAGTTTGCTCAGCATATTCACAAGTATTCCTTCTCTTGAAGGTGAGCCAAACTGACTGCAAAACATGTCCCTTGAAAAAAAAGCATGGCAAATGCTAAACACGAGTGTCCTCTTATGCAAATGAATGTATCCACTGCTCTTTGGTCTGCAGTACTTTGGCTTCATGTCATAGACGACTCTGTTAACAGTAAGGCCTTTGATCATCTCACCAAATGTCTTCTTGACAATTTCAGTATTTTTTCTGCTTCTAGCCCCAAACCATTCTTTGTATAGAGAAGGGTGTGTGTCCACATCAAGACTTGCCAGTTTCAGGGACTTGCAAATGAACTCGTGTATTTCAGCAGTGTTGTTTCCTTCCTTTTCTGTTGCACTAATGTAGCTTGCTTTCTCACATGTTTCTTCCATTTCAAATTCATCATCTGTTTCATAAGTCTCACCATCAAATGGCTGGTCAAGGACACTTGTGTCCTTAATGTATACAGTCACAGATTGAAGAACTGGCATTTGAGAAAGCTCGTAGGCTTTTCTGGACATCATCTTATCTTTCGATATATACAGCAATGGCTCCATGTATTGTATGGTATATATTCCTATGCTAGTCATGCTAGCAAAGTTATAAGCATCAGTGAGTGTGATTGATGTAGTGCGAGTCTCTCCTGCCCTTAGTAAAACAAAGTCATCAATTGTAGGCTCTTCACGGTGCACAAAGACTCCTTCGTATTCTATTTGCTCTCCACTGAAGTATACTGACATGTAAGGAGATAGGATGTCTTCTTCCAGTGGTGAGTCCCGTTTCATCAAGTACAAGTCCTCCTGTCCATTGTTTAGATATTGGAATGAGCAAACAACTTTAGTTTCCACTTTTTGGCATGACATTGTTACAGAAACTGGAGCATTACTGTATTTATAAATCAAAAACAATCATACACAAGATTATTCTAATGGCTTGTTAGCTTACTTTGATACTAAAGGCACTGCATTTGATTGCTCCTCAGAAAAAGCTCCTAATAATGATGGAAATAAATTAGTAGATTTATTATGCATAGCTTTATACTTACCATATACATGTAGAAATGTAACAACCAGGACTAGTGCTCTACGCATCTTATTAATTGACTAGAATGCTAACAGGATCCAATGGGTTGGCTTTTTGTAGACTGTCAGTGCACGAAACTTAATTTGGCAGTAATGCTAATGATTGATTGGGTATTATAAATAAACTTAGTTGATTTTTGTTTGTTTTTTAAATTTTAATTACCTCTAATTGGCCTCATTTATAATTAGCACTAGCTGTAAATTTGACTATATGGATATGTACATAGATATCCAGTTATATCATACCCCCATAATAGATATGTTGCACAGATATATGTATGTAACTGTATACATGTATATACTTATGTATTGTTATACATATTGTAATACATAATTACTGTACATACTATTTTTATATATACAGTGCCAATTATGAAGAGCTATGCAACCACATATATTATTAACAGTAGTCTGTTTGATTAATGCTATGAGCAATTATTTATTCTGTAGCTATATAATATATGAAAAATTAATTAAGGCTAATAGCTATCTACATTACAAAAATGTTCAAATTATAGTTCAATAGAATCATGAATCCAATCTCTAATAGGGTTCTGGTTCTTGAGCATCGCAATAGAACAACTCGTAATTTTTGACATTTTTGATAGCAATCATTGGAAAAGAATATGCCAGCCACTTAATATAATATCCTGGATGCGATACCAAGTTGTAGGCATGCTCAGATCCTTGAACCAGTAGATTGACTACAACTCCCTCTCTGGTCTGCTCATAAGGATTTTCTGTACAGTAAATTTCTTTTATATCAAAGAAAGACTTGCAAAGTGCTATCATTCCCTTCTCAGATTTGTGAATATACGCAATCCAGCCTCTTGGGCACTTTTTTTTGACCTCATAGTGAACTTCAGTTCTTCTCAACCGATTTAAAATGATTGTAAAGGTATTGTATACATACCTGTAGTATTTTTTTTCATTCTTTCCAAACCATTCCATGTACTTTTTAAATGGCTTTTTAATCATTCCCCTTGCCATGTTTAGATTATTGCAAAGGTCTTCATGGAGCTCAAGAGTGTTATTCGATTGTATGCTATCACCTCCAGTTACTTTAGCACCACGACAAGACTGACCTGTAATGTCAACATCATCCTCTTGGTATGCATCTTCATCATCATCTTGATCAGTTTCGATGCTTAAGTCTGGTTTAGAGAGGGACCCAACGTCGTACAAGAGAAAAGTATCAGCCTTAAAAACTGCTGTAGCACGCATTGCCTTTATTCCACTCCTCTTCCATTCCATCATTATGCTTCCTTTCTCAATATACATGATTGGTTTGTTGTACTGGACGGTGTAAATTGTATTTTGCGTAAAGTCAAATGCATCAGTGAGTCTGATTGAAGCAGATATGCTCTTTCCAGCTCTTAGCAAGACAAAGTCATCCAGTGTTGGATCTTTGCGGTGGACTATTATCCCCTTGTATTGAACCGGATACCCATTGCCATAAACGTATATGAATGGAGAATTGATCTCGCCCTCTAGTGGAGAATCACGTTTGAATAAATAATAGTCCTTGACTCCATTGTTTTTGTACTGGAAAGAACAAGTGACCATTGAGACAACCCTCTCACAGTTCATATCGAGAGCAATATCTTTATTTACCCTATACAAAAGGGATTAAGAATAAATGCAATGGACATAGATGTACTATATGTATATAAAATACAGTGCATATGATTAATGCACTGCAGTTTGGTGCATATTGTATTACTGACCTTTCCTCTCTTATGTCTTTCACTAACTGGATGTCAACCTCTGAAATAGGTATGTCCTCTCTATCATCAGGTGTAGTATTAGGCTCTTTATAAATATCTGTATCATCAGGTGTAGTATTAGGCTCTTTATTAATATCTGTATCATCTGGCTCTACTTCTGTATCGGAATCTTTATGACTTTGAGCAGAGCTAAGCAGATATCCTAACTTTGCTATGCGGTATGCCTCTAATTCAGCTGACTCAGACTCATCTGTAATATATGATGAACTGCTTGTAGAAGCAATGAAGACAAGAAAGAGAAAGACATATGATATTTTGAAAGTCATGGTGGATCCAATGACTAAAATGAACTGGACTTTCTTTGATGCATGGAGATATAACAAGTCGTTGGAGTGTTATTTTTGGACAGTATTCTGAGTAATGAAGTAAGTAATTGGATTTATAATTGCATGTTTGTTGTGAAAGCTAATAAAAATCATCATAACATTCCACCCACGTAATAAAATTGCGTAGGTGTGTGTTGTGGGCGGGGCCAAACTACAGTTTACAGTTCATTCATTGCAAACAACACAACACAACAGGGCTAGCTGCAAATCATGGCAGTGAAGAAAGGAAAAGGTAAATCGATCCTCTACTTATTGTTAACGCATATCCTTGTCTTGTGCCTGTTGGAATACTACCGCGAGTTGTTCTAGAATTAGATATGTTTTAGATTGTTTCTCTATTGTAATTTTATTAACACCCTCTAAATTTCATCTCTTACTCTCTCTTCTTTGTATTCTTTCCACTAGACACCACTACAGAGGACATATACCATGCTTGTAGGATAGGGGATGACCTCTTTATAAAGGAATGGGTCCTCAATCCTGAGAATGACATCAACACATCGTATGGGAGAGTATCATTATTTTTGTTGTGAACTTTTAATTGTAATGCAGTCCAGTTTGGCTACAGTGTACATTTCTATGTAGTTTCTATTATGCCATTATTGAGCATACAAACTAACTCTTTCTGGTTCATCGGCATAATTCTTAGATTAGTACTGTGTTTATTTTTAAATTGTTTGTTTAGAGCTCCTTGTAAGTGTATGTTTGTATACTCTTAATATGTATAATGCTCATTCCTATTGTTTACTTTATTTCTATTTCTCTTTCTCCTCAAATCCCTCTCTCATTCTCCTCTTTTTCCTCTCTCTTTTTCTTTTCTTCTCCCTCCCTCTCTCCCCAGTGATCAACATGGCTTCACTCCTCTACATTATGCCTGCTCTCATGGCCTCACTAATATTGTTGATTACCTCCTCACTCATGGGGCCAGGAATGACATCCTTAACATGGGAGGAGACTCTATACTTCACTTGGCAGTTGCTCATGGAAAATACGATGTGGTTTTAAGAGTGAGTCTCTAGTTTTTACTTTACATGTATGTCACATTGTGTCTCTTTCTCCCTCCTCCCCCCCCCCTCTCTCTCTCCCTCTCTCCCTCTCTCCCTCTCCCCCTCTCTCTCCCTCCCCCTCTCTCTCTCTCTTTCTCTCTCTCTCCCTCTCTCTCTCTCTTCTCTATTAAATTACTGTTGTTTATGCTACCACTGCCTATAATTAACTATAATTTGTTATGATACAACAATAATATTTGTTCATCTGCTCGTTTGCTTACAATTCTCCTTAAAAGGCAGCATTCCATCAATCTCTCCATAGTAACTACTGTTATGATACATTAATACAATATTTACTGCATAATATGTGATATGTACATGTACATGTAGTGTACATATGCTGTGTTTAAATTTCTCTTTGTTCTCTTCTTTTCTCCATTAGTTGATGAAGACTGCTCCTGATCCTAATATCTGCAATGAGCATGGGAACACTCCATTACATTATGCAGCATTCTGGAACTACATAGGAATATGTGAGGTGAGATTTAGACTACATGATATCCTTGGAAATGGAAGTGCTAATTAACCAATGACTGTATTATGACTTGTGGGTGAAGTGTAAGAAATATATATTGTTTCTCTAAATTTTAGTAAAGAAATTAATGTACTAAAACGTCATAGATATAACACATGTATTCCTAGCAGGCCTGGGGTAATAGTAATATGTAATAGTAATTGTAATAGTAACGATTACAGGGCACCAAGTAATAGTAATAGTAATAGTAATAGCATCTTTGGTAACAGGAAGTAATAGTAATAGTAATAGTAATAATGGTTAAAGTAATATGTAATCTCAATATTACATAGCTATTACTTGCAGTGTTACACTAATAAGTAACAATAGGAAAATAGCACGTTAGCCAGGAACTATTGCTTAGTACTGAGACTTTTTATCATAAATATAACAAAGCATTCTTAATTTGAAACTATAAAATGGCTTAGATTAACTTCAAAATTAGATTTTTCAATTAATTTTTATCAGTAACCTATAAAAATCTATGGCGTATTGTAATAGTAATTGTAATAGTAATATACTTTGTTGTAATAATAATAGTAATAGATTACTTTGAAAAAAGTCTGTAATAGTAATAGTAATATAATAGTTAAAATTTTCAAGTAATAGTAATAGTAATAGATTACATTTAATTGTAATTGACCCCAGGCCTGATTCCTAGTCCTAATAAGATTACATGGTGTTTGGTACACTTATCTCTACATGTCTTATTGTGCAGGTACTAGTCAAACAAGGTGCAGTGATTGCTATAGCTAATAAGCAAGGTGACACTGCCTACTCTAAGGCCAGACCAACACTTAAGCGTAAGCTGCAAGGTGAGTATTGGACGTGGCTTGTTACCACAGGGACTTGATGTTGTTATTTCATTTTTAAAGGTTTGGCTGATGAGTTTGGTCAAAGTCTTGTTACTATACCACATAGAAGTGAGATCATTCTACCAGTAGTAGTAATTGCATGTACACATGTGTACATTATATTATATATTTTTGTTTTGATCCCTCTCTCTCTCTTTTTCTTTCTCTCTCTGACTCTCTCTCTCTCTTCCCCCCTACCCCCTCTCTCTCTCTCTCCTTTTTCAGAGTCTCTTTCAACAAAGACAAAGAAAGATTGTAAGTTAATTTTCTGCTTTACATTAAAGTTAAATTCATCAAAGCTTTCCATTGCTACTATTGTATTTTACTGCTACTTTACTGTACATTGTACATGCAATTTTTTATTTTGTAGTTCTTGAGTTCCGACAGAGACAAATGGAGATTGAGCAACGTCAGGTGACAATGTCACTCAAAATAGAAGAGGATCAGTTTGGGGAGGTAAGGCATGAGAATGAGTTAATAAAGGAACGAGAATGAGTTAATAAAGGAACGAGAATGAGTTAATAAAGGAATGAGAATGAGGATACATGTACATAGGAATCAGTTTATAACAGAATGAGTCAATGAGTTTTAGGAATGGGAATGAGTATTTGATGGATTGGGAATGAGTGTATGATGGATTGGGAATGAGTGTATGATGGATTTGGAATGAGTGTATGATGGATTCGGAATGAGTGTATGATGGTTTAGGAATGAGTGTATGATGGATTAGGAATGAGTGTATGATGGAGTGGGAATGAGTCTGTGTACTCTAGGTATGGAAAGGCTCATGGAGCGGTCACACTGTTCATGTGAAGAAGCTCTTTGCTAAACACGATGTCTTCTCCTCTCAAACAGTACAAGAAACCTTTCCAAGGGAATATCCTAAACTAAGGTAATCAAAGAACAGTAAAAGGACAGTACATGTACAGTATTATTTTAGTATATTACATGTACATGTACATACTGTGCCGTATAAGTGGTTTTTGTGAGGAAATTATATTTCGTGAAATCTACTAAAATTCTAATTTGTGGATTTTAATATTTGCGAATTCTACCTCATGTGCCATGCGGTACCATATTAAATTGATTTTCATGGATTTTATTTTCCCGAATCACGAAGTAATCCGTGAAATCTGCGACATTTGCAACCCTCGAAAAAACCACTTATATGGTATATCTATATTGCTTATTGAATACTTGTGATTGCTATTGAACAGTACTGAAGTTGTACGTGTGTGTGTGTGTATGCATCACCACATGCTGTGTGCATAGTTATTGTGCAGTCATTCATGTTTCATTCTTGTGTGTTGGAATTTTTGGAATAATTTGAATATATGTCACAATTACTGTACATGTACATGAATGTGTGTGTACATGTATGTGTGTAAAAAAATCACCCAAAGTAAAGATATAATCTTGTTTATTATTATATTGTTAGGATCCTGACCAATGAGAACATATCCCCATTGCTTGCTGTTATACTAGAGCCACAGATTCACCTCATCACAATGCACTATCCACTAGGAACACTCTATCACATCCTTCACGATATGGACTCAGGTAATGCTCCCACCTCTTGAACCTGATTTATAACAATAGGCTGGCTGTTGTGATGTCAATTTTTAATCAATTGTATAGAGGATTTGACCTTTAAATGTATCTAAGTAATGTAATTCCCAGCCTAGTACCGTATAGCGCAAAATTTTTGAGGGCTCTAATTTTTTGCGAATTTACCTAAAAATCTATTTTGTGGATTTAATTTTTGCTAATTTATACCGTCTGCCACCTTGTGCCCTAATAATTTAATCTTTTGGAATTTTTTTGTGATTCTTCAAAAAATCGTAAAATCTGTGAAATTTACAGCCCTCTAAAATTTTGCGCTATACGGTATCCTATTAGATCTTTATAGTCATATTGTGTCTATTATGTACATGTACATGTACATGTACATGTATACTGAGTAGGTGCTACATGTATATCCAATGGCAAAAGACATAGATGTACACGTACAGTGTATATTAATTTATTGTCTCCTAAAGTTCTTCCAAGTTTACAATTATTAGTTATGTATTAATACTATACCTTCTCATAGCATTATGTATATTGTATATTAGGTAGACTTTCTTGTAGTACTAACAATTGCAAATCCTATTAGTTACTTTTTCTTTTTTTCCATTTTTCCTCTTTTCTTCTCTCCTCAGAGGTCCGTATCAATATACAAGAAGGAGTAAAACTAGCAAAGGACATATGTCATGGAATGAGACACATTCACTCCTTAGAGCCAATCGTCAATAGGTTCCACCTCAATCCTTATAACATAGTTGTAAGTAGCATTTATGAATACAGTCAAACCTGTCTATTCCGGACACCTTGGGACCCAATGAAACTGTCCTGATTATAGAGGTGTCCTTATTTTAGAGGTTCATTAATACACATTTATATTGTATTGGGACTGATACTACCTGTCCTGATTATAGAGGTGTCCTTATTTTAGAGGTTCATTAATACACATTTATATTGTATTGGGACTGATACTACCTGTCCTGATTATAGAGGTATCCTTATTTTAGAGTGTCCACAATAGCAGGTTTGACTGTACATGTAATACAAGGGAATTTTAACTTTTGTGGAAGTGATGGCCGGTTAATTTCAATATCCAATTTTCAGTAAAATCACAAAAATTTTTAACAATGAAAATATAGTAGAAGGCAATGTTAACTTTTTGTGAAAAATGATAGTTCGTTTTGTTGGTGCATTAACATTATTTTCTTTCTTTAGGTTGACAATGATCTCACAGCTAAAATTGATTTATCTCGCTATCGATTCTCTTTCATGGACTCCAACCACATGTATCATCCTCAGTGGTGTGCACCAGAACGTGAGGCACATACATACAGAGAGAGAGAGAGAGAAGATTGAGATTGAGACGTACCGTATAGCTGGTTTATTTTGTGGCCTCAAATTTTGTTGCTTAAATTTTCATTAGAATTAATTTTAGTGCCTTGCAAAATTTTTGTTAATGTTTGATTGGTTTTAATAAAATTTAGTGGAGTTAATTTTAGAGGATTTGAGCCTGCATGAAAATTAATTCCACGTGAGTTAAACCAGCTATACGGTAGTTGTATTGCATATTACATGTGGCATTTGGTAATTTTTGTTTAATAATAGCTGTGCTAAGTGGAGCTACAAAAAGCATGTATGTGGCTTTTGAAGCAACTTTAAAATTTGTAATAAATTCAGTTTTGATCAGAATCAGCTCAAACTTGCTACACAGCATAAGAACATGTATATTTATCAGGAAAAAATATAAAAATTAAGAATTCTCTCGTAGTCATTTTTGGCGAAATTTAGCCAATGACCCTGTACTACAGTACAGGGACTTTGGCCTGATTTTGGAGCAACTTTTAAAATTCATAAAAAATCAAATTTTGATCGGAATCGGCTCAAACTTGCTACACAACATAAGAATATGTATATCTATCAGGAAAAAATATAAAAATTAAGAATTCTCTCCTAGTCATTTTTGGCAAAATTTGGCCAATGACCCTGTACTATTAGTACAGGGACTTTGGCTTGAGTTTTAAGTAACTTTAAAATTTTGTAAAAAATCCAATTTTGGTACGAATCATTTCAAACTTTCTATACAACGTAAGATCATGTATATGTATATGAATAAATTATAAAAGCAGAAAATTTTAGTAAGGAAAAATCCCTGTATATGTAGTATAGTTGTATTTTGCCAAATTTTTGAGCAATTTTAAATCCACTAAAAATTCTTCATGAACACAATGCCAAAATCCTGTGGGAAACCTTGATAAGATACATGTAGCTCTAGAAAAGTATATTTACATTACTTATTTTGTAGTTCTCCAGAAGCGTCCTGATGAAGTGGACAAGAGAGCTGCTGACATGTATAGCTTTGCTGTTATACTGTGGGAGATTGCCACTGGAAAGATACCATATGCTGGTCTCTCGCCAATGATGGCTGGCTTCAAGGTAATGACTGTTATTGTTATGAGTGCATAATGGGTGCATGCCATATAGCGGGTTTTTAGGATAACAAATTTCATGAGTTTCAAAGATTTTTTAAGATTCATGACATGTAGATTCCTTGAAAATCAATTTAATATGGTATAAGATGGCAGAATAGTGGAAATTTGCAAAAATTAAATTCGTCAACCTCCAGATACAGGTGATTCATGAAAATTTTTATTCTTGAAAAAACCCGCTATATGATATCATCCTACATGTTTGATTAGAAATACATCTTGCTATAGTTATGTTCATGTATTGTAATGTGTTACTTCTATTAGCAGCATTGTTTGTTTTCTCTCTTTTTATGCCATTAGATAGCGAAGGAGAATGCCCGGCCAGTAGTTCCACAGTTTGTCAACTCGCACATTCAAAGAATCATTGATATCTGCTGGAATGCTGATCCTGGAAAGAGACCGAAATTCGACCGAATTGAGCCAATCATGGAGAAATTAAACGTATCATAAAACTGAACACAAGAGAGCTGATTGCTCTTGCTAATTGTCATAATGTTTAGTGCTCTTTACTTATTATACTGATATAGAGGTATGCTACTACCTGTAGTGTAGCTACTAGCATTAAGAATCTTCAATATGGCTCTTTTACTTCTTAACAATTATTACTAGAATAACATTTCAAAATTTATTTTTTGTCCTTCTTAATTATTTTTGATGATGATGATGATGAAATTGAAATCAGATAATGTAATGCTATTTCTGCAAAATCTCATACAAAAACGAAACTAAGATAAAAAGTTCAAATCTAGATCTACAACTACAATTCTTGTGAGTTTATCATCTTTTACTGAGGAGTATTCTTTACAAGCTGGCTCCTCCAATTTGGCGCTGTGGAAAATGAAAATAAAAATGAATTAACTTGAAGGCTTGAATATTACTTACAGGCAGTGAATGTGATTGTCTTGCATTTCTGTTTAGTCGAGAAGCAAGTGCTTGAGTAGACCTTATGCTTCATAACTGACCTATAAGCCACTTTGAATTTTGTAATAGTGTAATATTTAGAGGATCGGCATTTGCGGCCTTTGTAGAAAAATGTATTGTAGGAACAAACCCTTTTGGAGACTTTGATGAAACGAGGGCTTTGAACACGATATGCAATCCTCTTATTGCAGCGTCTAGGAATTGTAAATTTGCCGCAAACTCTCTCTGTTGTGGTCAGCCTCCTGCAATTGTCCTGATTCAAGCAAGTAGCTGTAAAATAATGTTAACAGTACAAATCATAAAGTTAATAACTATAAGCCCTTACAGTTTTTGTCAAATTCCGTCACTTCTATAAATATTAATGATATATAGTATTATAATGCATAAGTATATACATGGTTAGATCTATACCTGTAATTAATGCATTATTATCCTCTTCATCATATCCAGCTTCATTGCTTTCATCCTGCAAGGGGCTCTGCTCTACTTCTGCTGCAATTTCATCAATATTCTCAACAAAATCAGGGTCTTCAAAGAGTTTTTCCTTGTCTTCAATTATGTCTTGATCTTCTAATGATAAATAAAAACATTAGATTCAGCCTCAGTAACAAAGCATGTCATGTCAGCAACTCAACATGCAGTGAAAGCTGAGCCTGTGGTATGCATGCATTACCATTTTGCAAGCATTTAATGGTAGACATGAGAAATGCCGAAATGATAAAGTACAACACCAGTGAAGGCTTCATTATTATGGCTCAGTATCTTGAGATACTAAAAATGACTTTATTTTTCTTGTACTAGCTGTCGTAAGAAATAGCTAAACTTTATATAGAATTTATTGTTTTTATTTTCCTTAATTGGAAGTCTTATCATTCATCGAAAGCAAACACAGAAAGCCAAAACAAATGATTAAAAGTAATGCATGCATTATTTCTAACGTTGCAAAATCATAATAAAATCATCCACATGACACCACGTGGAGTAAGAAGGGCGTGTCTGAAGCAATTTTTAACCCTATAATTTTTAAGATGGATAGCATCATAGCAATTCTAATGCTTCTAATGGGCTCCTGGAGAATGATCTGTAGTGAGACAGAGACTCAAGATATAGCTACTGGTACAGAGAGTGTTTATGAGCCTCCCTCAATCTTTTCGGAGCAAGAAAAATTAGCAGAAACCAATTCTCCAACTCCACTAGTCCCCATTACAGAAGGGCCAAACCTCACAGGTCATAATTCTAGTCTCAACTCAACTGGATCAAAGCTCAAACCAATCTGTACTCTAGAACAAGGCTGCGTTCCTCCTCTAACGTGTGTGGGGGTCAATACAAGTCTCCTCAACGATAGTCACATGACTGGGGTCTTTGGGAAAAGGGGTGTGGTCAATGTCACATCAGCCCAATTGGAGACTCTACTAGATTCGCCGGTTTTCACTAATTCATGTCTTCTTGTGTTATATTATGCTACATGGTGCCCATACAGTGTTGATTTCATGCCTACGTACAATGAGCTTGGATTAGTGTTTCCTAATGACTCACTCACTATTGTGGCACTGGATTTTGGGAAAAAAGACGAGTAAGTAATACCTGTACTATAAAAATGGCAATAATAATCTAGCTACATAATTGTAATGATTTTAAATTTAGAAGTTGCACATACACTACATCAGTCTACATGTATAGACCTATATGGCGCTAACTTCATTATTGCATTATGGTATCCACCCACACTCTTGATTTGAACGGCAAGATACAGTGTAGCTACATGGGGAAACAAGGAACAAGAGGCCTTCATGGCTTCAAGAGCTTGCCTGAGTGGCAATAAGTGCCAGTAATGGTAAAGAATAAAGCCCAGAATGTCTCCTGAGAGAAATCTTTATTGGACTTGAAGCGACTTGTCCACAAAGGCTGCTTTTGGCCTCCTATCCATTGGTTTTGCCGTCCAGCAGGAGATTTTGAAATTTTTTAAATTAAAGAGTGCAGATAGGACACGGAAGATTACAAATAGTGTCTCAAAACTCTCAATCTCATATGGTATCAATTAGTACATGTACTTCTAGAAGTTAGGGCCCTATAGGGTCTATACATGTGAAAATGAAAAATAACTTTGCTGATTGTTACACAGTTGTTTTTGTTTATAGTGAAAAGTTTTTACTGGCATACATCCCGCGTGTGTTGCTGTACTACTCTGGTAGAGCTGTCTTTGATGTGGACACATCATTGAGTATTGATAATCTTACAAGCATCTTATCCAATATGACAGGTAAAGCAGTTATAGTTTGGTTCAAAATTCAAATACAATGTGATGACATAAAATGTTGTTGCATTTTTGTAAACATATTGATGCTATTGTGTTACGTACATGTACTACAGATTTTATTATTTTTAAAATCAGATTTTTAAAAATGCTGAAAGTGCATGGCCAAATTTTGCCAAAAATGAAAAGGAGAGAATTCTCCATTTATACAATTTTTTTCTGATGCATATACATGTACTTATGTCATGTAGAAAGTTTGAACTGATAGTGTCTGTGTAGTTTTAGCTGTCATTGGATGTATTTCCAATCTACAGCTCAGTAAATTGAGATACAGTATGCATTGTCCCATCATCCCATGTATACAATACCATATTCTTTACTATTATTATGAATCTACTATACTTTCTCTTTGTAGGACTCTTACCATTAGCAAGAGAGAATGATACTAGTGAAGAGACCCAATCTATTCACATTGAATGGGAGTTTGATTCAACTTGGTATTTCTTGGGTGTAATCGGTATTGGACTGATAACAATAATTAACCTACTAAAGAGAACTAGCTTTTTTACTATGGTAGCAAAACTAAGGGATGTAATCAGGAATCTTGTTTTAAAAATAAAGACAGATTAAGAATATCAATTGTTTAATTATACCATGAATGCATTATACTGTACTCGCCCCAATTAATGCACCCTCCTAATTATTGCACCTCTACATGGCTTTCACAATAAAAACTTTCTATTACGTGCACCTCCTGGTCAAGATAATTTTTTTTGAGAGGTGGATTGTAATTAGAAAGTCCCATTGTTTACAGGTGTCTGATCTCTGCAAAGTGCAAACCAATGCTATAGGTTATAATTCTTATTCTTATTTAAATTAGCTTCTCAATCATCATTATACAATATGCACTGTTTACTTTTGATATCTCCTTAAGGCTTGGTGGTTTCTTTATGATTACTATATAACTTAAATGTTTAAACTTTCAGTATGATAATGATATCTGCATGTGATTGACTATTATAAAGGAAGGGAGATGTTTTTTTATATCAAAAATAACATCCAACTACTTTGGTTGATATGAATATACATGTGAAGGAAACAAGTGCTATAGTGTATGCATCCAAGAGCAAGCAATTGAATCCAATTTTTTGGGAATTTTCATGGGAGGCTTGTATATTGTGTTATTATAATTTTTACACTACTTCCAAGTATACAGCCAAAGTGATTTGCTTTTACCCAAATTTTGTTAAGGATACAAGGAAGACAAACATGAAATGGTTTCAAAACAGCAGAGCGAGGGTATTTAAGTATTCAGCTCACACTTACTGAATCATTAAACACAATTCAAAACTACTAGCTCAGTAAGAATTAGAAAGAGAGAGAAGATGAAGGTGCTTATAGTTCTTGTTGTGATGGTTGGATTTCTGTATGGTATTGACTCAAAAAGTAAGAAACATAGTGTCAATAACTATTTAAGAATAGTGTTTGTTAATGTATGCATGCAGTGTATGAGGATTTTCAATATATCACTGGTATTATGTTCTTCTTTTATAGCTTTGGTAACTGAGAATGAGATGCTAAATGAGTCTGAAGATGGTATTGCTGCTGATATTGAGAAGATGCCAGCTGAAGGTTTTGAAGAAACCGAGAAACAATTACAACAGGCACCATTGGATGAGGAAGAACCTACAGATGAAGTAGAACAAGAAGAACTTACAGATGAAGCAGAACAAGAGGAGGAAGGTACATGTTATACATGAGCATCAAGAGTACTTGACATGTTCATGCTAATTTCTAATTAGCTACACATTGATTGTATCTATTCTTAATAATTTACTATTGCTATTTATTTTAGTGACTGCCAATGGCTGTGTGGTAACTGCGAGGGTCTGTGGTCTATTCTATAAACCAAAATGGTGCAAAGCTAGGCAATGCTTCACAGTCCGTGCTGCAGCAACTAGGCCAGTTTATAAAAAAATATGCAAATACCACAAGTTCGATTACAAAAAGCATGCATGTTCCAAACGTCAGTGTTTCAAAGTGCAAGTGGGAGTCGAGGTTGTATATGTTAAAGCCAGGAAATGCTGGAGATACACAAAATTCTGTGGCTTTAAATGTGTTCGAAAGTGTAAGACCATCACTTTTCGTTATCCATCACCACCACCTGCAGGTGAGTTGTGTTCAATAATTCATTTGTTATGATTTTATTTTCCTGGTATCTTTAGAGGTAGCTCAGAACTGAAGGAAGACAGTGATTGAAGTGTCAATGGACTAATTTGTTTATAGTATTAGTTTAATAGCTGCACTGCATAGGTAGTGCATGTAATGTCCTTTTTAAGAATCTTTTTAAATTTTTCATCATATGATGTCAATCTCATAATGCGCATGCATGGTAATTCTTAGCCATAATAGCTGCTGCATTATCTTTGTTGTTTATGCAAGACTAGCAAGTGACACTCACACTTTCCATGTGTTTTTCATTCATACAATTGTCACTGGTACTGATATGTATCACCTCAGATGTGTGACTGAGAGGTACTAATAATGTCACACCAAACAACTACAGGAAGTCTCATTCTAGCTTACATATAAAGTGCATTGAACCATAGTGTATTTCATTTTGAACTATGGAAAAAATACTCTTTATTTCTTTCTTTATTTTTGTGATTGGACTTGCATTGTCAACAGGTATATTATGACTATAAGAAGTTGCTTTAACATTAATTAATAGATTCTTCTATAAGGGACTTTGAAAACTATGGTAGGTTGTCAATCGAAAATTTGTATTATGTCCATCAATTTTAGACCATATTGAAGAGATCTCTCATGATGATCAGTCTCGTAAGTTAATTAATTTTCAACAGCAACTATTTTTAATAATAATAGCACTAATTACTACTGAAGATTTCAAAAATACTGGTAATTAATTATTGTTTTAAAGTTTATTTATAAATTGTAATAGATGCTGTAGAAATCAATGAAAAGGATGCAGCTGATGTTACTAAAACAGAAAAGGGTAAATATATATCTTGTTTTATGCCCATAATATTTTCTACTGTGGAATAAGAGAAGAAGCTGCCAAGTCAAATGGAATTGTTGCTAAAATCTCTCCTGGTCTGAAAGCTTCTCTTATCATCACCAATGACATGGACACAAGTCCAAATAGTGCTAGTGGTGTAATATACACAAGATGGGGCAAGCTTCATTGCAGGACTGGAGCTCAAATGATATACTCTGGATTGGTTGGTGGTGGTCATTACAATCAGAAAGGTAATATTGCACGATATCTTTGCCTTCCAAGGAATCCCCAGTACCTAAGCACCGACGCACCTTTTGCTGCTTCATACATACATGGAGCTGAATACGAAACAGGCAACAAGGTCTTTGGAAAAACAACACAAGATTATAACGTGCCGTGTGCTGTCTGTCTTTCTCCGAAAAAAGGAACCAAGCTTGTCATCCCTGCCCGTGTTTCATGCCCATCAGGCTGGACAGAAGAATACTACGGCTACTACATGTCAAGCTATCATGGACACAATCTTAATGTTAATCCTGAATGTGTTGATCATGTTCCTGATGTCATCAATGGTAGTGAGGCTAACACAAATGGTGTATTGTTTTATTTTATGCAAGTCACTTGTGGAAGTGGTCTACCTTGTGGTCCATACATCACTGACAGAGCCATCACTTGTGTTGTATGCACAAAATGAATTAATACTAGATCTAGTTACTGAACAATTAGTAGTTTGAACTTAGTGAACTTCCAGTCTTCCATACTTGAAATTTAGTTTTTGATTTTCTAACCATGCCAACGCACGTGGTTGAAGTATACGAATAATCTTACATGAAAGTATACGTACCTCACGTGATGACGTGCTTTTGCGCTTTAATTACAAAGTGCCAACATGGTGGGGTTTTATGGTCTTGTGGGTAATGATGCATGTAATGGAGGGGGCACAGATGTGTTCAGTACAGCATATCTATCTATGGTTACAGTGTTAGACGATGACCAGTGGCTCTAAGGAGGTGGCGGTAAGCTCTTTGTGTCCTTAAACTGTTTTAGTACTGCTCCTTTTAGTCTCTGAAGACATAGATATTACTCTAATATCTATGCTGAAGAGAATTCACAAGATATTCAGTTGTCGACAAGCCAGTAAGTGTTTTTATGGTGACCCTCATTTGTCAACCTATTCAACCTTCTTTTGATTTTCTACTGGGAAAGAGAGTGCCTATGAGTCTCCCTCTATCCTCTCAGAGCAAGAGAAATTAGCAGAAACCAATTCTCTAACTCCATCAGCCTCTCCATTACAGAAGGGCCAAACCTCACAATTCATAATTCTAGTCTCAACTCAACTGGATCAAAGCTCAAACCAGTCTGTACTCTAGAACAAGGCTGCATTTCTCCTCTAACGTGTGTGGGGGTCAATACAAGTCTCCTCAACGATAGTCACATGACTGGGGTCTTCGAGAAAAGGGTTGTGGTCAATGTCATGTCAGCATTAGATTTTGGGAAAAAGACGAGTAAGTAATACCTGTATTATAAAAATAGCAATAATGGTTACATAATTGTAATGATTCTAAATTTAGAAGTTGCACACATGTACATGTATGCATGTGAAAACGAAAAAATTGCTGATTTTTAAACAATAATTGTGTTTTATTTTATAGTGAAAAGTTTTTACTGGCATATATCCTGCGAGTGTTGCTGTACTACACTGGTAGAGCTGTCTTTGATGTGGACACATCATTGAGTATTGATAATCTTACAATCATCTTATCCAATATGACAGGTAAAGCAGTTATTTTTGGCTCAGATACATTGTGATGACATAAATTATTGTTATATTTTTGTATGCATATTTATGCCAGTGTTTTGTGTAGAAATTTGAGGATTTTTTTCAAATATTCTAGAGTTCCTCCAAAATTGAGCCAACTAAATCCTCGCACTATAGTAGTGTTGTTCTAGTATTTTGATACTATAACTAAAATTAATTTTAGTACCCCATTTTTAATTTAGTTATAGTAAAAATACTATAACTATTACTATACTAAAATTAATTCACTCACAGATACAATAACAATCACTTTACTAAAATTATTTCATTCATGAATACTAGAACTAATACTATACTAAAATTTATTTTCTTTATTGATACTATACTATGATCAATTTTAGTATTAGTACTAGTACTAGAACTATACTATACTGTATAGCCGGTTTTTAGTAGCATTAAATATTAATTGTTCCTTTTTTCGTCAAATTTAATTTTCGTAAAGCTCTAATAATTACTAAAATTTAATGTGGCTAGTTCCTTTTTATAAGCATCTCTTATCCCCTGTATGGTACTACAGCTAATTTTAATTCCCATTTTTGCTGAAAATTTCTTTTTTGCAGCTGTAATACCATGAACCACTGCATAGCAACCTACTTCAGCTCTTTCTTTGGGAGTATATTTTCTATATTTTCCTCTCTTCTTCTTCTCACTAGAAGTAGATGAGTCAGCCATCGTGCAGTCTTCTTAGTTATTATGTTAATTACGGATCACCTTGCAATATAGAGTAGAATTTGCATCACGAGAGTAGAATTTTCATTTTGGATTTTCGTTTAATTCGTTGGTATGGATACAGATCCTACTTGTCCTTGTTTCCATTACATTAACAAATTTGATCTAAAAGAATCCTACTCCATCTTGTTTTTTTTTTTAATTTTTATGTTCTTGTTTGTGTTCATTTGAATAATACATTTGTGTGTATTTGTAATATTTATTCAGATGGTGTCCATTGCCAATGTGGTGAATAGTTAGTTCTATACTGATCAGTGTTTAATGAAAGCATAATTTAATACTAGTCTTTACATGACTCTTTGTTCAAGAAGCAGTGAGAGTATCCATCTTCCTTGCAATCCTGTCCTGTGTTGTTCCTGTTGTTAAATTCACAATCATTGCTTAACATAACTAGACGAATGTAAAACATTAAAGGGGCGAGCCAAAGCAAGCCTTTGTACTGTATGATTTTAATGAGCAAGCTAAGCAATTGTACATGCCTAAAATACATAGTCATCTTGCTTAAAAATGTAACATCACTTCATCACTAAAGAATCTCTGCAGCAATTACAGCATTGAAGATAGTTAGAAGCAGTCACTGAACAAATCATATTTTATGAAGAAGATAGCCTTTCTTGCTAGTCTCGCTGGCCAGACCCTTGCCTCCAAGGGTCTGGCCAGCGAGACTACTTTCTTGCTGCTTAGAATAAACTGCAATTAGTCTCGTTGGCCAGACCATTCCCCAGCCTGCAGGCTGGCAGCTCCTCATTGCATTCATCTCATCAGAGTCCTTTCTAGTAAGAAAGAAAATTGTATATCTGCTTTTCCAATGTTCGTTGCTGCTAGAAAAGTCTTTGGACAGCAGCTTAGTCTTATCTTGCTTACGGCTTGCTGCAAATAAGCTCAGACTTGCTGATAGCCACCATTTTATCTTCCATCACTTCTTTCTTTCTTGGAGAATGATCTGATGGGACATGTGGACCAGACTGTTGGAATAGAATGGTGTAAGAATTAGCCTTCTAGCACTAGCCAATATCAAAATACACACCGACAACTGGATTCAGTCATGACAGGAGATAATGACTAAAGGCTGGTTTACATAATGACGCATGGTCTTGTGTTGCGACTGGAAGTGCTATATAAATGAATGGCAGGGTGCGTCAATGTGTCAAAATAGATTGCAAGCCTATTCTGACATTTTGACGTGCATCCCCATTTGTTTCTACAGCACTTCCGGTCGCAACGCAAGTGCACCAAAAGCAATCCGTTTTTATGTAAACCAGCCTTTAGATGAAAAAAGTGGACTGAACAAAACAGCAGTTTTGTTGATTTTTTACTTTCCTTTTGTACAAGGTTTAGAGCCACACTAGTGGTACCAATGGAGTCCTCTGGTCAAGATAAGGTCCTCTAAGAAGTCTGGTAAGCATAGGAGTTCGTTTTCCCGGTATAGCAAGGCTGCAAAAGTTGCAGCAGCCATAATTATTGTTTTGGGGTGAATCCTACTTAGTAATGCATTACTAGCTATCACTTGAACTGTATTGGAAATTGAGAAATTGTATACAATATCACATTCTTTACTGTGTAATAGCATGACTCTACTTTCTTATTGTAGGACTTTTACCATTAACAAAAGAGAATGATACTAGTGAAGATACCAGATCTATTTACATTGAATGGGAGTTTGATTCAACTTGGTATTTCTTGGGTGTAATCAGTATGGGACTCAGAGTAATAATACTAAAGAGAACTAGCTCCTTTACTATTTTGGCAAAATTAGCTTCTTTACTATTTTGGCAAAATTAAGGGATGTAATCAGAAATCTTGTTTTAAAATTAAAGACAGATCTAAAATATTAATTGTTTACCATGAATGCGTTATAGTCTGATCTCTGCAAACCAATGCTATAGGTTATAATGCTTATAGCTTCTCAATGCCACTCTCAATCATTATGCACTGTATAATTCATGATATCTCATTATGGCTTGGTGCTTTGTTTTAACTCTTATCACTTTCAGCATGATAATGATATCTGCCTGTAATTGGTTTTTATAAAGGGAGATGTTTTGTTATGGCATCCAACTTGGTTTGTTTGATTTCGTTATGCATGTAGAAGGAAATGAGTGCTAGATGCATGGGCAACCAATTGGATATGACTTTTTTTGGGAATTCGGGATGCTTGTATGTTGTGTTATTATAATTGATATACACTGCGTTCGAGTACATGTACTAGATGCATGGGTAACCAATTAGATCTGACTTTTATTGGGAATTTGGGAGGCTTGTATGTTGTGTTATTATAATTGCTATATATACACTGCTTCTAAGTATACTTACTCTGTTCAGCTTAATTGATTTGCCTTTAGTCCAAATTTTGCTAAGAATACAAGGAAGACAAACATGAAATGGTTTCAAAACAGGAGAGCAAGGGTATATAAGTATTCAGCTCACGCTTACTGAATCATTAAACACGATTCAAAACTACCAGTTCAGTGAGAAGAAACCAGAAAGAGAGAGAAGATGAAGTTGCTTATAGTTCTTGTTGTGATGGTTGGATTCCTGTATGGCATTGAGTCAAAAAGTAAGAAGAAACATATGGGAATAGTGTTTGTTAATGTATGCATGCAGTGTAAAATGTTTTTAAATATATCACTGGTATTATGTTCTTATTTTATAGCTTTGGTAACTGAGAACGAGATGCAAGATGAATCTGAAGATAGTATTGCTGCTGATATTGAGAAGATGCCAGCTGAAGGTTTTGAAGAAACTGAGAAACAGTTACAACAGGCACCATTGGATGAGGAAGAAGAACCTTCAGAAGAAGCAAAACAAGAGGATGAAGGTACATGTTATACATGAGCTTGACATGTATTGTATTTTGATTAACATGTTTATGCTAATTACTAATGAGCTACATCTGCATACCACATTGATTGTATCTATTCTTAATAATTTACTATTGCTATTATAATATTTTAGTGCTTGCCAATGGTTGTGT